TATTTATTTTGTGTTTTCACTTGTCACTTTATGTGCAGTAGAAGCTTCTGTAGCCAAAAAAATTCCTTGTGTGTGTGAAGCACACTTGGCAATAAATCTTATTCTTTTTAAAAAAGCATGCAAATGCTTACATTTGAAATTGTGGAGTAACTGCAAAGTGTAACTATCTTGTGTTTTTCAACTGTGGCTACTGGTCAACTATAGCTCTACATGGCAAATCCTGCGATGTGACTATTGTGAATGAATTCATTGGAATGTCTGAAACAATATATTGTGCAGCCTTTATGTACACACAGAAACATGAGAGTATTCATTCTTGAATAAAAGTTTAGTTTAACTTGGGGAAAAAAAACTTGAGAAATTTGAGGATTTTTGTAGAGTTCCTCACAATTTAGTTTTGGTTTTAAAAAGCAATTTCTAAAAATGTTATTTCTGAATGGAATATGTAATATGTTTTTTTTTCTCATTTAAAAATGGAATTAGGGTTAAAATAAAGCGGATATCACATTGCTCAAGCTTTCTTTAAATGTAATCATGCAGGTGTAGGATGCTTTCACTTCGGCAGGAATTACCCAACATGCTATTTTGGATGTGTCAGTAGTTGCAGTTGACAAGCTTAAGCTATTTTTAGGGATGAGCAAAACCCGACTTTAGTAAAAGGCTTATTGCTGTCTGAACCTGTTAAATTTTATATAAATTTAATGGTAAACAAAATAATGTTCGTAATAATACATAAACAAAATAGCAGTAGTAATAGATTTTAGTTATTGTATATGGCATAACAATCACTGTAAAAATGGGTTCCACATAATAGATTTGTGTAGGAACAACATGAAGGAATTAAGTTAACTTGTATGTTTTTACAAATTTAAGTAGATCGAATTAAACAATTAAGTTGTCCCAACGACATCTTACAAATTATTTAGTTTCAGCTCCTTGTAAATAATTTGTTTTATCAGTAAGCAAATGATTTTCCTTCATTGATTGTTTTGTTGTAGCTGACTATTGTTATAAAGCCCTGATCTGCAGGTTTGGTTGTGCATCTGATGCTTGCCCCTGTCTGCTCCCACCGTTACTTGACTATCTCTCAGCAACAGTTGCTATGCATTTTCCACACAGATAAATCAAACCAAGCAATCTCAGGCAGGCTCTTATATATAATGCCACTATTAAAAGATGATTTTGTATTTATAACAGTATCTCATGCTGTTCTTTTCTCGCCTCTTTAGTCAATAATTAACTTATTAATAAATTTGTTTATTTTTAGCCTTTATTGCTGTTTGTGAGCTTAGTCCTTCATCTCTCTCCTGAACATTCATGATTTTGCAGTTAGCAATTCTTATAAGCCAAGGTTTTGCAGCCTTTTTATATGGTTATGCAAGTGTGATAGATTAAAAAATCTTCCCTTTTGGAATCTCTGTTGAAAACGTCATCTTAAGTTTAAATTTCAAAGGATGTTTTTTCTTACACATAAACAGTGTTTAGCTGATGCAACAATGAAGTCTTTGTTGTTTTTGTGCTACTGCATCGCAATAAAACAAATTGATTTTATCAGATGAAGAAGAAATAATTAAAATGAAATACAGTGTTCTGTAAAATAATTGTAAGACAACATCGTTTTTTGATCTCTTAAGACCAGATGTGTTCACATTTGTTGTGTCAGTTCTTTTTTATTAAGCCTTTCTTTAATATTAATAATATTATTAATAGCATAATTCAATATTATATATACATTATCTGTTTACAGGGTAGTTTACATATTATAACATACCTAACGTGTGTGTGTGTGTGTGTGTGTGTGTGTGTGTGTGTGTGTGTGTGTGTGTGTGTGCGTGTGCGTGTGTGCGTGTGCGTGTGCGTGTTCGTGTTCGTTCTATAACATTCAAATCTCCGGGCTTGCAAAATCTGCTAGTCTGAAGTCTCTGGGTCATTGTTTTTTCAGTGGGGCTTCGTAAAGCATGGTGTAGATAAATTTTGGTAGTAGCCCGACTGAAAAAACAAAAGCCCTGGAACTTTGCAAGTCCTCATATTTAACTCTTCTGCCTGTCATTCATGCAAATACGGTTATCATGTTTAACCTCTGTTAGTCTCATTAGTATTGATCAGATAATCCCCAAATAACCAAAACTAGGCCTATGTGATTCCTCTAGTAGATGTTTTTTTTTTTTGACTAGTTAGTATTTAATAAACAAACTGTATGTATTTAGTGTTTCCTAGCTTACTTATTTTGCTGATTTCTGTATCCTGTGTAGTGCTGACACTATATATGTTTAAAAGTCAAACTGTTGAGATCGTTTATGTTAGTAATGTACGTTTCCAAAAAGCTCATAACCCCCTCTGTTTTATTGCTGTCAGACATCCGGTGGAGCCTCATCATGCTTTTCTGCTGTGTCTGTATTTTATGAGTACTCAATGATGGCCTTTGGGCCTGAAGATCCCTCCAGAAAGCCTGGTGCCTCATTCAGAGTCTTTGTGGAGCTTTCAGTCTCACAGTGAACCACAAGATCACCAATATATCAAAACATATTCCTAATGAGCATAAACCAGTGTGCTGTAGCAGAAGTTAGAGCTAAAAAGATGGAGATGGCTTATTCTCAGCCAGTAAAACATGCCAACTGCTGCCCTCTCTTCAGCTGACGGTCTATCAGCAGCATCTTGATTTTCACCATACAGACATCACATGCTGCTCCATCGCCAGCTCAACAAACACCCTCTCTTTTCCCTCTTTTTCTGACACACTCTGTGGAGGGAGAGAAGAACTGTTACAAAGGCACACGGACTTGTTGATCGTGTTTTTTTCCCCATATCCTTCCTTCCTTTTCTCCTGCCTGCCGCAAGGCTGCTGTCTGAAGAGCTTTTGAAAGGTGCTTTGTGTTGAGCAGATATGAAAGTAGAAGAGATTTTTTGCTACTTTTCCATCAAGCAGTGTTTTTAAGACTCTCTTGTACAGTAACTTAATTTCAAGCCATTCAGATGATCAATTGTAAATAGTAGATGTTTTGCTGGAATTAAAAATTGTTTTCACTGAATCAAACATTTTAGAGGCATGGAGCCACATTGTCCTAGATTTTACTTAATGACCTTTTCCTTTCCTGTTAAGTTTCTATAATGACAGCAAATCACGAAGGCAGTATTGCTCGTTGTAGAAATTGGGAACATCTCAACTTTTTTGTCAGCCAATCAGATCGCTTTATGCAAATGCACCAGCTCAGACAGTAGTCGATTGTGGACTAATTTTATTGGCTGACGCTGCTATGATGATCCCCTCAGCCCTAACTTAAGACACGCCCTCTGTCAAGCGTTGTCAAGCCCTGTATAAATTGAGCGTAAGGATGCTTTCACACCTAGACATTTGTTTTGGAACCTGGTGTGTTTGCCCGTTAGCTTGGTTTGTTTGGGCATATGTGAATACTGCAATCGCACTCTGATTCGCTTCAAAACAATCAGTCCAAGATCTCCTGAATGAGGTGGCCTTGGGGTCGGTTTTATTGAAACAAGCTCTGGAGCTGATGGATTGTTATGAGAAAGAAATTTAATCCAGCAAACTACTGGTTAATTTGCGTTTTATGTCAGATATGAAAGTGAAAGCATGTTGAACTATTTTCATGCTGAAAATTGACTAATTTGCCGTCTTGGTTTATCTGTTATTTCTCTCTATAATCTCAAGCCTATATCACATAATTTTAGTCAACGGCTATGTATGAGAAAGTCTTACCTCTGATTCATAGTTGGTGATAATTTCTGTGGGTGTTTAAATTAAAAAATTAAAACTAGGCATGCACCGATACCATTTTTTGGAACCGATCTAATCCTGATATCAAAATTTCTGAGTATCAACCAAAACGGGTCTGATACTGATGAGTTATTTGACCATTTGCTCTGACATTGATCTGTTGTGGTTCAGCTTATGATGGCGCACGTCACGGCTGCACAGCCGGTCCATTAAAACGCACAGCGTGCAACCCTCCGGTATCTGTGGACACTTTCAGAACTTAGGAGCACAAAGGGTAGAAACCAGTGCTTTGAGGATCTGTCCAATGTATTGTTGAGCCTTTTTTCATTTAAACTTTCAGTTAGGCCTACTTTGTGTGTGAAGAGCAGGTAATAACACTTTCTACTCCAGTATTGCAAATGCGATCTGCTGGTCTAACAGACGCAGCGCAACATCATTTAGAAACCGTAATGAACTCTTTGTTGCAGGTCAAAATTAACCCATTTAATTCAAAGCTAAATCCTTTTCTCCATTAAATATTTAAACTAACAGGAACAAATAGTCTTGGAGAGTTTTCATGTTGTCATGAACCTGACACGCAGTTCGAATTTTGAATAAATGGAGAATGATTGACAGGCGCAGCGGCAGGAAGCACTGAAATGAACATGAATTTAAGCACTTGAATATTCATCTGTGCTCCACATTGAACTATAGAATGGCTTCAGAACATTTAGGATGTAGTAGGCATACATAACAACTTTCTAGGCCCTAATAACAGGAAATCCTTCATGGCTTTTGTTAGATTATAAGTGACAAAATAGATTGTATTTGGATTGGTACCAGTTGGCTGATACCCGATCCAGCAAAAATATCAGTATCAATCCGATATTCGATGCAAGTATCGGGATTGGTGCATCCCTAAAATTAACCATTTAAGATTAAAGCTCAACTTTTTACTTTTCATGTTTTTATTGCTCATCGTCATGAAATAAAATAATGGGGTATGACAGCGGAGCAGGAAAAATAAACAGCAGAACTCTGACCAATGTGAGGAGAGTTTACTCGCACGTGACTTGTTTTAACTATTTTGGTCTGGTTAGAAACTTTGCCATGTAAAAGCGAACCGCACTAAGAACAAAAAGCAACATTGTAACAATTTTACCGGTTTTCGGAATAAAAAAAACGATCTACAGGTGTGAAAGCACCCTTAAAGAATTTTTTTTTTCCCTAAGTTGTATAGCCATAGTTGTGGCACTTGTTTATATGAATTTTTCTTTTTTTATGTCAGCTGCAGCTGCGCAGGCGCAGGCAGAGGAACGGCGCAGCCAGGCAGGAAACAGCCCAACGCCAGCAGCTCCAGCCAACACAACAAAAAGCCAGACCAAGCCAGGTAAATGATCTCCATTCATCTCCAAGGCCCCTTTTGTTTAGAAAATGATAATATTTTTTCATTGTGTTGTAATGATGAAGATTGAGTAGTATGAAGTTTTTACTAAACTAAACATGTACTCTTTTGCATATACATACTCTTGTCATCATACTGTATGTGTGAAGGATGTCTCATATAAACGAAAAGCACATACACCATTAGATTTACACTGAGTAATCATTATTTCTCCAGTTTTTTTTTTTTTTTTTGCCTTGGTTAGGTCAGTAATTATTGTAATTCGACAGCCTCGCCATTCATTAATGCTGTTACAGTTGTTCCTGTAACACGTTCCACACACACACCCATGACTTGTTGTCAATACTATATCAGGTGTGGTGAGCTCATAGCTGAATCTGTTACCTGAGCTTCACGTAAGAGTATGCAAGAGGATTATATGTGCATCGGATACTAGTCCAATCTGCCGTGAGCCATTTGTGGCCCAGGAAGTGTTCAGATTTCACCTGATGTGCTAGTTGTGTGACGTTGTGTTGTCCTGTTACGTGTTTTCAGTCATTGATGGTGCATCCCTGAGGATAGACGACAAACTCCGAGTAGCCAAAGAGAGGAGAGAAGAGCAGGAAAAGCAACATGGTGACAAAGCAAAAGATTTCATTCAACAGGTGTTGGCAACCTCTGGCATGCATGATAAATACATAACTCAAAGAGAACAAGAAACAATTTGTTTGGAAACAATAATGAGGTCATTAGCGTAATTTATTCATGCCAAGGTGGAAGCTGGACTCAATATGACTGTATGTACTGCATTAATTTGGAGGTGTGTGTGATAGTTGCACAGTAGTGACAAAACTGGTCTCATCATGTAGAAAATGGTTGCCAACCCCTTACATTGTTGAATATTGTTTATTGTTTTTATTCTCTCATTGTAACAAATTGTGCTAACACGCACTGTTTGGCTCGTTCAGCGGCCCGTGAGACTCAGCTGTTGGAGAGAGAGCGAAAGTCCCGGCTACAGGTGGAGCGACAGATGGAGGAGAGACATAAGAAGCTGGAAGAGCAGCGCAGGAAGGAGGAACAGAGGAGAGCTGCAGTGGAGGAGAAAAGGAAACAGAAGTTAGAGGAAGAAAAAGTAAACTTTCATATTGTCTAGATCTATCTATCTATCTATCTATCTATCTATCTATCTATCTATCTATCTATCTATCTATCTATCTATTAATTCTTTTTTTTACAGAATTTGTGCCTATTTTATTTTAAAAATAATGAATAAATGCTGTTCTTTTGAAAAGCAAAACCCGGATTCAGCAAAGTAATAAAAACTTTCTTGAGCATGTCTGTGTGTTAGAATAATTTTTGAAGGATCAAATGGGGTTTTGGCAGCTGAAATTCTGCATCACCATTAAAAGTCTGTATTGTTTTATATATATATATATATATATATATATATATATATATATATATATATATATATATATATATATATATATATATATATATAGACACTCACTGACCACTTTATTAGGTACACCTTACTAGTACCGAGTTGGACCCACTTTTGCCTTCAGAACTGCCTTAATCCTTTGTGGCATAAATTCAGTGAGGCACTGGAAATATCTGGCTGGACATCCATGATGCAAATCTCCCATTCCACCACATCCCAAAGGTGCTCTATTGGATTGAGATCTGGTGCCTGTGGAGGCCATTTGAGTACAGTGAACTCATTGTCATGTTCAAAAAACCAGTCTGGCCATTGTCCTCTAATTTCTGGCATCAACAAGACTTTTGCACCAACAGAACTGCCACTCACTGGAAATTTCTTATTTCAGACCATTTTCTTCTAAACCCTAGAGATGGTTGTGAGTGAAAATCCCAGTAGATCAGCAGTTTCTAAAATGCTCAGACCAGCCCGTCTGGCACTATCAAGCATGCCACATTCAAAGTCACTTAAATCACCTTTCCTCCCAATTCTGATGCTCTGTTTGAATTGCAGCAGATCATCTTGACCATAGCTGAGTCCGAAACCGCATACTTCCATACTATATAGTACGCTAAAATCAGTATGCGAGCTGAGTAGTATGTCCGAATTCATAGAATTCGAAAATCAGTAGGCGAGAAATACCTGGGTGACTTACTACTCTCGGCGAGATTCTGAAGTGCGCATCCCATGCATGCTGCGCTATCCCATAATGCCCCGCGAGAGAATTTATGAATGGAGGTGAAGAGACGCAACTGACACAGGTAGGCCACGTGACCATGACAAAATGTCGGATGTTGTGCGTCTGAATTCCATTCATACTTTTCACATTCATACTGTATAGAGTGTACTTTTTTAACGGCCGAGTAGTATGTTTAAATTCAAATGCAAATTTGTGTTAACGAGCAGGTAGACAGGTGTACCTAATAAAATGGCTGTTGAGTGTATTTTCTTTTAAATATAGTAAAAATATATATCATTTCACAAGTTTTACTTTATTGTAGATCAAATAAATCATTCTGAGCTTGAGAAATCATAGACATGTAAACTATAGCGTATATTAATCTTCTACTGCAATTTTAAAATGCCAAAGAGGCTTTTTCAAAAGGCTGTATAATCCTCTACACACAAAGTATAATGCATAAAGCCAAGCAAAATTCTGAAGTCTGAGCTCAAACCAGCTTAATATTACAGGACTCCATTATTGTCTGGTTCAGATAACCATCCAACTAATCCATTTAAAGATGAGTATTTTTGCAGGCCGCTGCCGCCTCTTAGGCCTATTCATTGACTATTAGATCTGGGCTGTGCCAATGGTTTGAATGACTTGCGTTTTGTTTTTTGGTGAGCTGGTTCAAAACGTTGAATGAAATGAAACGGGTGATTTAGCTCTTTTTGCAGTCTCACAGTAAGAGTCATGTGTGCTTTGTTCAATATCTGACTTGCAAATGAGCCTGGACTCATGGACTTTGTTTTAGTATTGACACCCACATCTTTGCCACAGTCCACTGCTATACAGCTTAGAGGATGCATCACAGCTCTATTTGTCTAACAAAGTGTGTGTGCCTGTGTGTAGGAACACTATGAAGCCGTGATGAGACGTACACTGGAGCGCAGCCAGAGAGTAGAGCAGAGACAGAAGAGATGGTCCTGGAGTGGACTTGCAGACTCTGACAACAAAAATGGTACAAATGCATTAACATTTAGACTGTACAAGCACCTGATTATTATTCAACTGCTTGTAGTCATGCATTGTCCCAATATACGCCCAATTGAGTTATGACTGGGGTCAAACAGAATCTGTGGACATTTTTTGCTATTTCTGCTAAGAATTTTGTAAAAAATCTGCTGCTTTATGCAGAATAATTTAAGGAGTATCATAACCAAAGAAATTTGTTACTAATAAAAATAATACATTTTTTACTTTGATTTAATGTTTACCAATGCAAATCTAATTAGATCTACTTATTTGGTAAACAAAGCAATTCTCATATAATACATCTACTAAAAGACAGAAAATATTGCTTTATAAACTGTATTGTAAATGAACAATATCAATATTTTAATATTACTGTTATTATATCACAATAGTATTATTGAAACTAATTTAAAAGCAGAATAAATATAAAATTACACACATTTGCACAAGTAAATACATAGACACAATGATGGGCAAATTCCTGTGCGCACAGATTCCGTGTAGGCCTTATAAATTTATAAATAATAATTTTTTGACAAGCTTGTTTTTTGTGATTTGATGTTAAAGGCAAAGTGTGAAATTTTGTTTCTAACAGTGCACTAACAGTGCTCTATAGTCCCACCTTTTCAGTCCCCTTTGTGCCTGAAATATACTCATACATGCATCCATGAAAAACAGTCCAGGCACACTTGTGTAACTGACCAAATGAGAGCTCACAAATCGTTTTATGAATGCATTCCTATGAAGAAAAACTGGCAAAATGTGCCTACATTACACAAATGTACCTTAAATATTAACATTTGAACCTCATTCGAGTCAGATATGGGACGCCAAAAAGTTCGCTAATTTTGGAATTATGAAATCTTTCAAATTTTACTATAAACATACATAACAGTAAGATATTCACTGGACATTCACTATGCTCACAAAAGGTCCATCTGTTCATCAATATGAGCTTTTCCCATTCACTGTTTTGTTTGTGCACACATTACACAATAATATTAGAAAACAAAATACAGTAACTAACTTTTTTAACATGTAGTAGTTAATTCCTGCTTGCACACAGGTTAAGGCTGCACAATATATAGTTTCACATTGATATTGCAGTGTGCGTATTCGCAATAGTCAAATCTCAAGATATGCAATGTTCAGTCTGAACTACAGTTGCTACAGAAATATACTGTATTTTACTGTATATGATTTATAGAAAAAAACGTTTTCTTAGAATTTTTCCCTTGTTTCTAGTACAAATATCTACATTGCAAATCGTAAGCGAGATTATTCTACTTACACATTGACTGTTTTAAGGAAAAACCCTTAATTTTGGACTATTTTTTCTGAAGTTAAAAACAACAATATTGTTACTTTATCTAAAAATATTTAGATATCTGGCCTAGAGACTAAGACAAAACAAAGAAAAGCATGTTTAGCATTGTAATTGTTCAATTTCTGTCTCTTAATACTGTTAGACGCCCCCACTACTTTTCACTACTTGTGAATCTTCTGACTGTATTCATATTGCAATATTTATAGCAGAAAACTTAAATTTCGCAGTATCAGATCAATTTCCTATATTGTGCAGCCCTAGTACAGATGATGTGGCCATTATCTTGCATATGTATACAAATGCGCAATTATTTTAAAAAGACATTGCTATAATTTACCTTCATGTAACTTTTACTAGGGTTATTAGATAATTAATAGGATTATAGTTACATTATAGCAAAATATAAAGATATATAGTTCCTCCCTAAAAAAACAAAATACAGTGTCCATAAATGTAGTAGTACATTTGATTTTCCTAGAATCCTAAACAAATTTGACACTTTACTTTTTATAAGGCATGTTTTTCTGTTGAAGCTATGTTTCTCTGTGCAACAACGCTTCTGGATGGACATCTCATGTTGTAAGCAGCGTTTTTCCACCCCTTTCGCTCTCTCTCTCTCATGCTAGAGAGTCTGTTTCCAATAGCGACCTGTGTGTCCCTGCCCCTCCCACAGGTCAGAGTGACAACGGCCCTACCTCCTCCCCGATTGCTATAGTAATCTCTCCTCCTTCTCCAGCCTCCAAGCCACCCAGGAATCAGACGTCACAAGGTGGTTAAAATGATTTGCCTGCACATCGGCGTGGCTTGTCACAAACTGCACACTCCTCGTCTTCGCTCAGTTGTGCACTAATCTATCTGGGGCTGTACTGGCTGTTTCTCATTCACTCGCTAATTTGTTTATAACTACATTTTCTCCACTTACCAGGGATTATAACAAAAAGTATTTTCTCCGAAGCACCTAACTGGTTTCTGTTGTTGAACTAACATAGTTAAGCCTGTCTATTTAGACTGCGTTATTGTAGTTTTGCACCCCACTGATGTATTAATACACTGTATTAATACATAAATATGTATTTCTGATCCTTTTTTGTTATAGCTAGCATTCTCTAATTGTTGTATGTGCAGCTGTTACCCTGTCCTTAATGTAGATTAACCAGCGTGTATCAGAGTAATTAACAATAGCTTACCACATGCAAACTCCTGTAACTCTAATTCCACCCCCTGTCTGTGTGTGCGTATTTACCCTCCCTGTAGACAAGCGCTCTTCCTCTACCACCAACCTGAAACAGACTGACTCAGTCATCAGCAAGCGTCTCTCCTCATCCTCTGCCACCCTCCTTAACTCTCCTGATAAAAGTAAGTGTGCTCCCTGCCCCGGCCTCCCCTTGCTTATCCAGAATGTATGTCATAATAAGATACATAATAAGCACGTGCTTTGTAACACAGGTGTTTTTCGCTGTTGTTCACTTCAAGATTATTGCAGATTTAGCATGTTTGTTTGTTTGAATGGGCCGTTAATGATTTTTGCAATCTCAGCAACGTATGATTTTTGGAGACCTGCTGTTTTTCTCTGCAGTTTCCTTTTCCTCTAACAGGAGCAGCCAGCCATGACTCAGAGTTTCACATTGTTTGTGTTTCTTCTCTACAGAGATTTTAGTGGGGTGTTACAAAAGTTTAAGGTTTTGCATCACTTTTGTGTTGATGGATTTATGTTTGAAGTCTATCTTCAGTCCCTCATATGCGAGACTCATGTTCTTGATTCAGGAGTGAGCTTTCTTTTGTCCCTCAGGTGCAAAGCGGAGAAGTTCTTCTTTGAACCGGTTGCCTAGCAATGCTCCTCAGGCCTCTAAAGAAGCACATAAGCAACCTCAGATGGAAAAGACAGGTGCCAAACTACCAGTGCTGCTCCTCATTTAAACGGATAGTTCTAAAGTTAAAAAATCTCAGACATATTGCAATATTCAATAATTCAGTATATCATGATAATGCACAATAATAATTAATATCGTGGCCAATTCAAAATACAGGGAACAATTGTTTATTATTCAAACTTTTAGAGTGCATTTTAAGATTATTCAGAGTGTAGTTGCAAAGGTGTATATAACATCGCCGCATGCTTGGAGACTTACTAGTTTAAACATTAACATCCTCATCTAGCCTAATACATGCTGAAATATTGATTTAAAAATTCTGTGACTATTTATAGGGCTGTTGTACATTAACACTGTTCAATACCAGTTAACGTTAGCTAATTTAGCTAAAGTTTTTATTCATCTTAGATCATGGTAATTTATTATTATTGTCAGAATTGTTTTACTAAATGTAGTTAATGACTTCAGTTCAGTGATTTTAATCCATTAGCTAAGGTTTACTAATGGGACTTTATTGTAAAGTGTTGCCTGTTATGTTTTTTAATCATTTTAAAGTTTTATTAGATTAAAACATTTGTTGACTCCGAATATGTATATTCAATAAAGCAATACACTCTAGCATTTTTTGTTATTATATGTGTAAAAATAACCGTTTTCCAGCTTAGGTATAATACTGTCTACCAGTGTTGCCCAAACTCAGTCCTGGAGGTTGGAGAGTTTATCTTCAACCCCAATCAGACAGACCTGAACCAGCTAATCAAGCTCTTACTAGGTATACTAGAAACTTTCTGACAGGTGTGTTGAAGCAAGTTGGAGCTAAACTCCGCATGTCACTGGCCCTCTAGGACCGAGTGTGAGCACCCCTGCTGTATACCTTGATAATCACAACAAGAATATTAGATACCATCATAAGCCTATTTGTTTGTCTTAAATGATTGTTGGTTATAAAATAAACCCATATAGGCAGGTATGCAGCAGTAACCGTAATTTTACATTATTTTTAATTTTAGGTGAACAACCCCTTTAGCATGTCTGCATAGCTAGCCCAGAAATACAGAACAGTAATAGACAATCACAAGGTCTTGTATATGCTTTTTTAAATAAAGTAGAGGACTTGATCCTTTAATTAGCTTGCTTTAGCTCAGTAGTTTATTTACACACTGTCACTCTGAAAACAAATTTTCAATGCAAATAAGCTTTTTACAGAGAAAAACCTTACAATTCTCTACATTGTAAATAAACTGAATCCTAAATAGAATTAAATTTTGAGTCTCTATGCATTGTTCTCATTAAAATACCCATTTCCTCATTCGCTGAAAATGGCAAATGTGAGCTTAGAGACTGAAGAGCCCTTGCTTCCTCAATGATTCTAATGCTGCCCTGTCCACTCTGTCTGTAGGCCCAAACCTGAAGAAACGCAGCTCCTCCCTCTCTCGAGTGGGGGCTAAAACACAGCCCACCACCAAACCAGAGAAATCCACTGCAGATGAATCAGGTGCTCAAGTACAAACCGAGACGTCTTAATTTGCCTGTTTGCTGTTTACTAATACATAAGCGCAACTGTGTTTGCTTCAGTGGTCTGCCTTGCTTTCGAGTGTCAAACAGCAAAAACTTGTCGTTGGGTTAATGAGGGATGTTGTGGGCGAGAGCATGGGGTTTACAAGTTTCCTTTATGACTGTAAACATGCAGCATCTCTTTTCCTATGTTACTTTCTTGCCTCGACCTTACATTGGTGCATCAGTTCATTGTTCGTTCAGAACTGTAACCGTTTGCTAATGTTGATGCTGTTTTGTCCACACACACGAGTTGGTGCTTGTTGCCGCCTTGAGCTTCCAGTTCGTCTTAACCTTTCCTTGTTGCTTCTTCGTTCTCTCAGGGAGTTCTCGCTAACTGACCTACTCACCAGGAATGAGCTCTTTGTGTATGCTAATACAAAGTGTTCTTGTTTGTGTGAATGTTGTTTTTCTTCCCATATGACATTAACCATGGAGTCTGGCCCCTAGTGCCGTGTTTGTTCTCAGTGTTTGTGTTTATCTGTTGTCTTTTCAGGTCTAAAATTGACTGGCTTTACATGAACATATTTCTTTGTATTGTATTTAAGTTCTCATTTGATTGCTTGATATTTAAAATTCCTGTTTGCTATCTAGTTCCCCTTGAAAATTAAATGGCCTTCTGATTTGTGTCATGATGGGCCGAGTTTTCTCATTATAGTACACATTTTTGTAGACACCATCGTTCCCTATACTGAGAGCAATACCTCATTAGCGAGCTCCCTTAGTCACAGATCAAAAGCTTGACAACCTCACCCCCTCTTCACAAATAGGAGCACATCTATGCAGTGTTAAAGGGGAAAAGGAAATAAACTGATCGTTAAAAACACACATTATTTTCCTTCAGTTTTGAGTTTTTGTTTTTTTCTTCTCCCCACTCTGGTTTTGTAACTCTTGTTACAAACATGGATCTCATGATAGCAAGAGCTTTTTGAGGCTGTTCTACTATAGTTTTGCAGTATCAAATTATTTTGGTTTCATTATAGTTTTTGTTTGCCTAACAATGTTCTGTAAAACTGCAGTAGAGACTACATTGAAGTCAGAATTTGACCTGAAATCTTTTTACATTTATTAGGGGTCATGAAATGCAGTTTCAGATTTTACCTTTGAAGCGTACACTTTACAAAAAAAAAAATCAGAGATTCAGATAATTCCTTCATGTCTAACACAAATCAATTAAGTTAACTGATTTGCTTTTGCAAATTTAAGTGGATTTGACATGAAACAATTAAGTTGTCCTAAAAAACTTTTGTTCATTTTTACATAACTATTTTTTTTAGTGTAAGTTTTGCTCAATAAAAACAAAACAGTTGTTAGTGGGAAAAAATTTATCCTCAATTTTTAGTGGTGTAACAGATCACAAATCTCACGGTATAAATCACCATTTTTCGGATCAGCAAAAAAGGGTGCTTTCAGTCTATACAAAAAAAATTACTGCAAAAACTATTTTTAATTTTAATAAAAACAATCAAGAAAGAACCAGCTGCAAAAGGGAAAATAATTAATACGAAAAATGATCTTCACTACTGTTACTGATAAGGTCAAATATAGAAATCTAACATCTTGTACAACATATATTTATTTTCAATTTATGACTCAACAATTTACACATAAAACTTCATTTTACGTGGATCATTTTTGAAAACCTATTCAGTGACATATTTTAGTGGTTGTTTGTTGCCACCTATTGGTTTAACAATGTAATTGCTACAACATTCACCAACGTCGAGTTCCGTTAAATGATGATTTTAATCTTTACCATAAACATGTGTTTAAATCTGAACTATAAACTGTTCTCCCAGTATTTCTGTTATTTAATTGTTTATTATTAACTGTAAAAGTGTAAAAACTGAATCTTTCTTGATCAAACGCAGATTTGAATGCAGCGCTCCGAAGGATTATTAACACATGCAAATCATTATCATTTATCATTCATGTTGTACGGGTTTAAATTGAGATCACATTATTTTTATGTTAAATTGTGCAGATTTACACTGAATGCATAAATGCAGGCTAAATAATACCCTAAGAAAGCATTTACTGCAGGTCCCACCACAACTTTTTACTGTCATTATTATATTTTACAGCCAAAATGCTTTCATACTCGTGATTTGAATGACGTGGGAGGCGATCTCTCTGCAATTGTTATAAATGTTGGATTAAACTAAAAGTTACAAAAAAAAGGTATTAATCCACAGGTCACTTGTGTTCGGAACTGTGGGTTGTGATCCATACGTGATCCGTTACACCCCTATCAATTTCACTGTGTGTAAAACACTCAATTTCACAGGACATTACTTGTTACAAAAAAAGAAGTAAATGGCCTCTGCTTTGCCAAATTCACTGCTCTATTTTCCAATCCTCCTTTACAGCATGATATGTGCTTTGATGTGCTATAATTGATGTCTATATCTGAGTCCAAGTCAGATCCAGAAGAAGAAGAAACTGAAACAATCCAATCACGATTAATGCAACAGTGCTTTTGTTTGCATATTTGCTTCAGATTTGTATATAGTTTTAGTACTACTTACTATTTCAGCCAAAAAAGTATTGCACCGTCATATCTTTCAATAAATCTTGTGATTAACCCACAGGCATGGAATGTTCAGAACACACATCCTGGATGATATATGACATGACAGGTGTGTTGAGAAGAATCGTGTCCTTACAATTGTTAATTGTTAAAATAAAAAACAAGACTTTCAAAAGCATAGAAGATATCATTTTAGTTTTCACTTTTAAAGCTTAAATTGTTTTGATTGTAGATTATCTTCTTGTATGTGTTAAAATCAAGAACAACTAGATTCTCTGTTTCATGACCCAATGTTTTTCCTGATTTATTACTAACAAGGTTTAGCTCTATACCTCAAATTTCAAAGCAAGCATTTGACTCTGGTCTGACAGATCTCAAAAAGCTCTTCAGTCCTGGTTTTGTTTTCTTTTTAGTTCTCACTTCCTCTTCCACAGCCCTGGTCCTGCACGCAGTCACCTCTCCTTTACCTCACTAATATTCTTTTTTTCTCTCCAGCATTAAGAGTCTCACCTTGATTGCATCAGCCGTCCACTGTTTGCGTTTGAAATCACTTTCCTCCTTGGTTTTTGTGTTGTTTCCTGCATTTGAAATCACATTGGTGTCATTCCCCTCTCCGTTCTCCTTTTGTTTATTCCTCAACCTTTTTTCTTTTCTTTTCCTGTTTGTCTGCTCTGTTTTTGGTGTCTGTACGGGCACTCGTGTCTATAGCTCGCCGTTCGCTGGCTGCCCCAGTGGACAGCGGTGTCCTCAGTCGCCTGCTCACACCCACCCAGGCCTCGCTAGCTAGAAGCAAGAGTGCCGCGGCCCTGTCTGCCGAAGGAGGCGATGCTCAAGGTAACAGTAGAGAGAAGCGGAGGCCCAGCTCACACCAGAAACTCCACTTATGTGTAGAAATAAGATGCTCTGTGGGGTGCTTGGTTGCCGTGTTTAATAGGGAATGCTAGAGTGATGTGGCTTAAATTACTTGCATTAAGTTTTACATAACATTGGCAATGCTGGTAGTCTTTTTCTAGTGATGCACAGAATTTGGTTGAAATTTGTTTAACCAAATTTCAATTCCATTATCAAAGGAAAAAATTGTTGTCAAAACCTTCTACGTTAACCAAAGCAGCGTGTGCGTGAATTGATCTAGTTTTAATTGGATTAAATGTTGATACCATATGATGGTGTAATCTGAAATGAGCAAGCATTTACAGCTGAGGCACGTGTAACTTTGTGTGATTCACATCCAGAGAAGCACTAGTGCACAATGCACTTGCTGTACATTTAATATTTGTCCTTGAGGGCATTCTGTGGAGAGGCGAATCCGTCAGTGTGTTGAGCATAAATCGATACATTCAAAAATAGATTAAATGGAGATTGTCTAATGTAGAATCAAAATTTTGCTCACTTTCTCATTAGATGAACCAAAGGTCAAGATGATTACATAAATGTCTACATATTTATTTATTAATTTTTGTTTAGTAGTTTATTTTAAAGATTTTTTTTATATCAACTATTGTTGTTATTATGCAGTGTGTTCTTATCTATATTAATCTTGGCATGAAATAGCCATAAGATGCTGATTTGGCAACACAAAAACAAACAAACCATGATGTTTACATAAATTACCTCACACAGTTAAACATCAGATGGCTGAATTCAGTCACTGAAATGCAGCCAAATAAACTGTCAGTTACACACAGCATTTCAGCCTTTTAATTTCTGTGCACCACTAGTCTTTCCCCGCTTTCATTTTTAAATGCACACGCACACATCAAGGTCTGCAAGGTGTTCCAGGGCTATTGCTGAGAGATCTTTTGTAAGCTGATTAGCTAAGTGTTTCTGTGCGTGAGAAGGAATGAGTATAGTGAATCTCTCCCTGCTGTCACTGCTGCAATCCCCATCTGATCCACACAGACCTGCCTAATGGCCCCCGCGGACCAGCAGCCTCACCCTTATCACCTTTGGTTCCCAAAGTTACCAAACTCACTTTAGATTCCCGGCAACCTGTAAAGGATGAGGTTCAAATGCTCATCTGTTTATTGTTGATGTGATACTTTCAGCATTTATGAGGTTGATGGTATCCGAACTGCTTTATTGGTTTCTAAAAATAGACAGATGATTATGAATCAGCAGCTTATGGGTGAATTACATTTATAGGCTTTCCATGATAATAACAGTCAGAGTTAATTATAGTGGGTTGAGATTAGCCCAGAAATCCAACTGTAAGAGCAGAGCTATTCTTCAGGTCAGCCCTTACCTCACCTCACTTCACCTCTTCTCCAGCAACTGATATGGCCATCATTTTTCATGTATACAATAGAGTGACCAACAATACTTATTATGTTTTTATTTCTCATATTTTCCTCCATAGAGAATTTTTAGTTCTAAGACATAAACTAAATCAAGAGGTGTTCAAAACTGTATTAAATAAACTTTTTTTTTTTTAAATCATACATGGAAGCCATTTTCTTCATAGTCTATTCCTTGTGCCTTTTGGTATAATTGACATTTTTGGGTGCCAATTTATCAGTTAAACAATTAAAAAAATAAAATCAATAATTGTATATAATCCTGACGTCTGCTTACATGTACTATTGTTGAACTTATCATAGGGCTTCTGTGTTGTAAGATTTACGAGATATTAAGCATTAATTTCTCAATTCTCTATAGAGAAATTAGTAGGATTTTTACTTCCTTTCTGTTACTTTTAGCTATTGTGTATGTTGAAGTCTCTGTAGACTTTGAGCACCAAATCAAGCTTTTGACCATATTTCCATCTGTATTCTTATGTGGAATTTTTGCATTCAGACTGAGCTTTGAAAGCCCTTTTTAGCTAGATATTTTCATATTTTACCACCAGAATGGTTGTAGTATTATTTTAAACTGTGTTTTTGGAGAGAAGCAGAGGGAGCACAACTTATTTTTCCAATAAACCGTCATTTTGAAATGGGAAAGAAAAGGCATTAGCAGTGATATTTTATCTGTTTGTGGAAAAACTCTGCACTTATCATTTTACTATGGCGAATAAACAAACTGTTGGGTAACAGTGTCTTAAGGAATCAAATGCATAAGTCGGAGATGGAGGCGGTTTAACATTAGCTTTGGCTTGCAGTAGATGCGATGTCCTCAGTAAAAGTTTTGAAAGATGGAGGGAATGTTGTTAAATCTAGCACACTAGAATCGCAGCCTAAGGTGCTTGCTTGGTGAAGTTATGGGTGTGCTTTAACATATGTGCCCTGCCGTGTCTCTCTCTCTTCCTGTCTCACCCACCAATCAAAGCCAGTTTTCCTGAGGCCATCAGTGTAATCAGCAGCAGCTACCCATCAACCAGTGTGACTGATCTAACACACACCAATGTTTTGTGCTTTTATCATCCCTTTTTCTCCTTCCTCTTTTTATCTCCCTCTTTCTGTCCCTTCCTCTGCCTTCGCTTTGCTCACCCACTCGGCTGCTTGTGACGTCCCTTCCCTCCTGTCCCTGGCTGTGCACCACTGACTGTGTCCTTTACCAGAGTCTCACCTGTGTCCTCGTTCAGCATCTGCAAGCCCCATGCAGCCCTCGGCCCGTGGTCCCCTGCGCAGTCGCAGCAGCGACCGAAAGAAAGGCCCGACCACTTCTGTGTCTGCAGATGCCATCTCCAGTATGACGCAGGTGAGCAGATGATGCATGTCAACTTCCACTTTCAAATGGTGGGTGATTGTTTGGTTTCATTTAGCATGACACTGCTTTTGTTTGAACAAAAATGATAATAATTACAGTAAAATACTGTAAAACCATGATATTGATATTTTAGACCATTTTGAGGGATGTAAACCAAAACAATAGTCCCAAAGTATTTCCTGTTTTACATTTTTAATTTCTATAGCTTCCGAAAATCTAGAGTTGCATATTGATAAATAATATTATAATGGCTGCTTTAAAATTAAGATATGATTGAATTGCCTTTTGTTACAGTTATGATTTGGTTTGATAACAGGCAAGAAATGTTCATGGGCCATTGACATCACCATATTGAAGTGGTCTTGTTTTTTTTTTTTTGAGAATAAATTATAGAAGCTGGCTTTGTTTATTTACATTTGATAATACAGTGGTCCCTCACTGTAACGCGGCCTTGCAGTTTCACATATTTTTAATGCAATTTGACATTCTTTTTTTTGAGTATATTGCATTCTGCGTCCTGATTAGCGCATTGTGCAGTACAGAACCAATCTCAGTCCTGAAGGGCCGATGTCCCTGCAGGGTTTAGCTCCATCTTGCCACAACACACCTGCCTGGATGTTTTAAGTATACCTAGTAAGACCTTGATTAGCTTGTTCAGGTGTGCTTGATTAGGGTTGGAGCCAAAATCTGCAGGACACCGGCCCTCCTGAAACAACTTTGGTGACCCTTGTGCTAAAGGAAGGTAAAAGTTATATGGCTGTAGAGTGCCATTGCGGATGGAATTAATCTTCCGGTTGTTACATTCAGTTTTGCAGCCTTAAAACATCTATAATAATCGTATTACCGTTGACTATTTTTGCAGATTTTGCCTATTGTTGAGTTATTTTTAGAACGTAACTCCCACAATTAACGCGGGACCAATGTATAAATAATTTAATGATAGAAAAGTGTTATCAGTTTTGAATTGTTTACAGTTGCTTATACAGGCTGCACAATTTTTTGCATTGGAATTTCTTTTTCATTTTTTTTCTGTAATAAATATTGTTATATGAATACAGTTTCACAAGCTGTTTTGAATAGATTTTGAATAGATCCTCTTGAATAGGTTTTCTGGAGAGTCTAACAGTATTCAAGAACAAAAACTGAATAATCAGGATGTCTCATTTCTTGTCCAAATATTTAAAAAATCTTAGATATAGCAAAAATAGTTTTGTTTTCACCTGCAGAGGAAATAACTACAAATTAAGAGTTTTTCTTTTAAACAATCTAAATTATCTGCCATTAGTAAGTATGATAATCTTATTTTTAATTTGAATTGTAGATATTTGGACTAGAAACAAGACAAAATTCTAAGTATTTTTTTCATAAATTGTATATAATCTGTATAAATAATTAAATGCAGTTAATCTTTGTTACACCTCCAAACATCAATCATTTTCATAATCAGACTTTTAAGAGTTTGTAATTCTTACATGAAACATTTGTAAGTCATTAAAAACTTTATGCATTTTCACTAGTGTTTTCTGAAATTTAGACCTCACAATTTTTATAGGAAGCACAACGGCTTACAGTTCAGTATACATGTAATTTAATCTCCAGATTATCTACAATCTCATTACCAGGATAATGTAACAGAGCTCCAGGACCTGTGGGTCGTTGGTGTTTAATTGCTTTAAAACAGTATGTACTCATTCAGAAACTTCACATATTATGGTTTGCTTTGCAAAAGAGCTTGGATTTATTCCTGACGTTAATCAATGAGCTGTCCGTTCTGAATAACACTGATCCCGGCTTAAGATGTGCCCTCTTCAGCACACATTGGAGAGAGACAGGGAGCTGGGTTACTTCAGTCACTCTTTGACTTAATAACAAGACGTATTCGCTTCTCACTTGAACAGTGTTAAAATAGTGAAAATGTCAAGGTTAAATACATATTCTGTGCAGATGCGTAAGTTTAGCCAAAGCTTTGTAAACCCTGTTGAGTGCCCCTAAAAACAGGTCACCCAAAAAATTTACTTTTTAAATTACTTTTTTCAGCTGTCCAATAAAGAGTTTTTTTTTTTCTTTTTCTTTTTCTTTTTTTTTGAGTGGAACATAAAAATGTTAAAACTGTGGTCCTTGGTGTGATACCTATTATACAAGTCAGTTGTATAAACCGTATTAATAACTGTGGTTTCTGGTAATACATTAAGGTTTTAGAAGCAAAATAATCTGTCTGTGCATTAAACTGAACATTATTTCAGTGGACACATTTGTATACTTACAACTTTAAATAAAAGTGTGCTTGTTTATTAAAGTATATAAGACCCTCTAACCCTGAACTTTTGAAAGTTAGCATATTTTAAAAACTTTTACGCTGTAAATAACTCTTAAATTTAGATTTTTGTTCATTTCGGAAGATTATAACAAAAGGACATTCAGACTCCAAACAATCATGATTAACTTATTTGTAGAGCAATAAAGGTTAATTTTAGACTTAAGCTAGCTAGTTCTGGACTGCATGTCACATTCATTCATTCAGACACAGTTAAAATGTAGCATTGCCTCTCAGGAATGCTTGCCTAGCTTGTCCCAGAGTGTGTATGTGTGTGCGTCCCAGAGAGAAATGAAATGAGAGCTTGCAATGTTATATTCACTGGAGTAAGATAAATTGAAACTGACATGTTTCCCTCAGATGTTCATACTGTACTCTAGCTTTTTCAGTAGCTTGACCTTATAGCTCTAACTGACCTGTTTGATGCTCATTTAGAGGGATGTTCAAGAGTCAGTGCTGAAACTATGGTGTATTTAAGGCTAGCAGGGGAGGGTTTCCATTAAAAGACATCTCCATTGAGCGTTCATGAGCGTTCATTTGTCCCAGTGATACCTTAAGCATGTGGACAGAAGATTAAAAATAGATGGAAAGGACTTGTTTACTACCATCTGATGATAGCAGTGAATTACTTACTGCAGTAGAGGGATATATTTTTGATTATGAGTGAACAATGGTTTGTCAGCAAAAAGTAATCATGTACCTTTCAAATATGAAGCTATCCCTTTTCCTCAGAAAATTCAAAGCTTTCTTAAAGTGCTTTATTTTTCATTTGCAACAGCAGAAAGGTGAAAAGGAGAAGCGCTTCACGTCACCAGTAGGAAAACGCCCTGCTTCTCCTTCCAATCGTCATCGGTCTCCATCTCCTACTCCCAGTGCTAGCAGCACCACAAGAGCGCCATCACCTGGAGCAGCCAAGTAAGACCCCTGAGATCAGTTGTAGCCTGTAGTGGTTTCACTCCAAACCGATACTGCAGAGTGACTTGATTTCAGATCTTCTCAAGTAGCATTTCACCATTGTTTATGATGTGAATGCATTTTTTTGACTTGTGTATTATGTTTGTCTCCTTCAGGCAGAGTCCACGCGTCCGCCCTCCTTCCCCTAGTGGTTTGAAACAGCGTCCTCCATCCCCTCAGCCTTCTGCCACATCTAAACCTCCACCCATTCAGAAAGCTGCTCTAACCCCCACCGGCCCACCCACCCTTCGCAAGAGGGACTCCAAGCCAAAGGATATGACTCCAATGATGCCTGTAGCCCCATCGTCTCCAGAGACCAGCACACCCAGTCCAGTACCTGCACCCGCGCCCAAGACCAAAGAGGGTGAGTCAACTCAAAAACTTAAATATAGGGGCATAGGGGGAGTAAAATGCCACAAAATGTAAATAACTTCAAAATTATGATTTTGTGAAAGTTAATTAAATTGATTTAGGTCTCTTTTGTGTAAATACTTCTAAATGAATAGCAATTGTTCTTTGTGAGTAGGGCTGCTCCAATCAGGATGTTTGCAGCCGATACCAAGTACCGATTCCTTGTCATGGTAAACAGCCAATACTGAGTACAGATTTTGATGCTTTATAATGCCTAAAGCACATTTTCCCTCCCAGTATGATACTTAAATGCAGATCTCGACTTACCTAAGAGAATAAATGAAGGATGTTGCATATAATCCCTTAAACAAGTCTCTTATAACAATTTAGTGTGGACTTGTAATGGTCAGACACAGGTTTACAGAAAATAAAGAAAATAATAGATAAAACATGTTTTAAAAAATGGTAATAAATGACTAGCAATGCATTTTAGAAACATTGCGAATGGTGGAAGAATTAAACATGTCCCAATAAAGTAAAAGTGTGGAGCGAAGGCTTTATTTGATCCATAAGAAGATAAAATGCACACCTTAATACATTGCTTCTTTTCTAAAAGGCAATAGGCCTATAAACTACTGTTTATTGCAGTACCTAGGCCTATTTTAGAAAAAGCTATATTATTAAATAAGTAAAAAATATTTATTTCATTATTATTTACTAGGTTAGCCATCTCCAACTATTGACAGCAGCACAATGATCGCAGTCAGCTCCAGACAGTCACAGCAGCTTGATGAGAGATAGGTGGAAGTAGGGCTGCATGATATTGGGAAAATTCGTTATTTTTTATCTGCAGTATTTCACAAGATATCTATTTAGAAAAAGCTTACAATTTTACATTGATTGTGATGATTTTGTTTGGGAGTGTATCTGCATAAAAGATACAAAATTATATAATTTAAAGCACAGATAAAAACAATAGAACAAAGACAAAACTGAAATACAGTATTGAGATATAGAAATGTCCTATCCAAATACAAAATAACTTGTAAATAAATATATAATTTATATATTTTTCTTCAATGTTATGATATATGATATTTATATGCTTTTTCTTCTATTCATAATTATATACACCCAATCAATTGAATCTAATTGTTGAAGCAGAAAACATTGAAATGTCTTATACAATGTCTAACTTAAAATTCTTAAGATCCTGTGATGTGACTATTGCAGATTCACACATTGTGATATCAATTCTGAAACAATATATTGTGCAGCCCTAAGTGGGTGATTTGAAACTGATACATTACATATTGTAATGTATCAATATACATTACATATATTGTGTCAATACAGTACAGTATAAATATAGTAGTATAAAAGTATAGTGCGTTTTAAATGAAGTAACTAATGCTTTTTTTCCAGTACATATAAGATCCTTGTGCCAAGCACTGTAGCAGATTTCATTAATGTATTTAATGTGAAATGAGCTTTGAAAATGTTTCTGAGCAAAAGTGAGTTTACACACGCTGCCGTCAGGTTTATTTTCAACACACACACACTGCCCTCTGCTGGAAAAACATAGATCGCAGTCATACGTTAAAGGGTTAGTTCACCTCAAAATTTAAATTCTGTTATTAATCCCTTTCCTGAGACCTTTGTTTATCACCTTGGTAAAACAAATTTAGAAATTTTAGATGAAATTTGAGAGCTCCCTCATCCTCCTTAAACAGCAATTGTTCGGAGATGTTCAAAGTCCAGAAAAGGAACCAAAAACATTGTCGAAACATTTCAAGTGACTTCAGTAGTCCAATTGTAACGATACAAAGCTAAAGGAACACTTTCAATCCAATTTTTAGTTGTGGGTGTACTAAACCACCTTTAAAGAGACACTTTACATCTTTTTTGATGCATATTTATTGTTTACTGATATAGAATTGAGGTCATGTCTACTTTTACATTTTTATTATGAATGTGTATCTTTTCAGAATCCAATTCCAAAGCCATCGCAGGAACCAACTCAGCTGCTGAGGCTTCAAAGATCCTGGCGGAGAACCGACGTCTGGCCCGTGAACAGAAGGAAAAAGAAGAGCAACTTCGCATCCAGAAGGAAGAGGAGGAGAAGTGCGTTTATTCGTTTCCCTTTAGTGTTGTGCTTTAGCATATACTTGGTAACAATCAAGCAGGCAATTATACACTAAACCTACAACAAAGTCATTAGGATGAAACTTCAGCAGATATATTTATTATAATGAGCTAGTATATCTGCAGAATAATAATAATGACATATTAGTTTTAAAAAACAAATTAATAATACTTATTTCCTTTTGTCTTTGTCATGATGACAATATGTCAATATTATTTTACTAGTTATTTTGCAAGATACTAGTATTTTTTTGTAGACCTGGAGTGGTGGACTTGAACAGACTTTAAAGTTGTCCTGGTTATTAATGCATATAAAGTGATGACATCAGAATTTAAAGTTGAATTATTGTGTTTAAGACATATGCTTGCAGTCTGTCATTGACAACATTATTACACTGTTTTTTACTGGTAAAATGAGACAATAGGCATTACCAGATTCCCTCTTGCATTATATTCAATGTTATATAGGCAAGAGTAGTTACACTAGCTATGTTTCCATCCACCTGTTTTTATGCGCATTTTGCATATGTGCATAAAAAAAACGGTTGATGGAAACGCCAAGATGCGCATACATTTTGAAAATGCGCATTGAAAACTTATGTGCATAACTGAGTAAAATAAACTTTTTATTTGATAAGATGCACATAACTACAATGGAAACACTTTTACCGCACAAATTTCAGTATGCGCATTAAAAAAGGTCATGTGATTGGGTTATAAGAGATCAGGTGATGATGCAAATGTGTAAATGGACAAACAAGCTGGCTGAGCACACTGTAAACCATCTCAACTGTTGTTTTAGTCATTCTAAAACACCTTAACCATCTCTGTATTAGTGTTGTCATTTTATTATTAACCTCCAGAATCAAGAGCATCTGTGCTCTGCATCTGCCACCTTTAAAAGCCACCACACGTTCGCTGTGTGTCAAGATTGCCTTCTGAGGTGCAAATCATTTATTAGATGAAGAAAAGACTGACACAGCTTCTCCTGCTGCAGCAAATTCAGTTTGTACTTGTGATATTTGGCACCAGTTAATCAGGAAGTGACGATCTTGTTCGCTTTGACTCGTTGGATGGAAACACTGCTTTATTCGCATGTCTTTTATGCGATAATCCAGTTTTGCGCAAAAAGTTCATTCGCATTTTTGGATGGAAACATCGCTACTGACACTGTTAAACAATTATTCTCGCGCACAACTATCTTTGTTTGTTATGAGAGGAAACACGTTTTATATGCTTGTTGTAATCATGACTGATAAAAATGGGATATGATCGTTTAAATGATGTGCGCACTCTCAGTTTTACATTCACTGCCGGGTGCATGTAAGTAATGCCATGGGTGCCGTCATTTTGAGAGAGAAAAAATACATACAAATCATAATTGTTACCCGTGCAGCTCCTGGCTGAGGAGCGAAACAATCACTCTGAACAACTTTATTGTCTGTTATTACTTTATTGTCACAGCCTATGCAGGTTCAGTTCACTAAAACAGATTTCATTTATGGGCACGCACATCATATCTGTGATAAAAAAAGCAGCTCACGGTCAGCTCATGTGTGATTTTGCGGCCGCTAATATGCAAAATGAAATTTTTGAAATATACCCTTTTAATATAGTATGCTGATTTTCTCAACACCATTTGGAGACCTTAATAATATATATAAATTTAAACAATAAAATAAATTTGACATTCTCCAGAAGAAAACAAATACTATATTAAATACTGTGAAAATGCCCTCGCTCTGTTAAACATCACTTGGGAAACATTTAAAAAAAATCTATCATAATCAAATCATAATCACAGGCAGTTTTGTTTTTCTTGTTTATAAGAGCAGGTTAGTTGTGCGTACAGTATATTGAAACCTCGAGTGTGTTTAAACTATTTCCTTTTAAAATGAGCCTGATGTATTATTATTTTTGAACAGGTTGAGGAAAGAGGAGGAGAAGCGGCTGGCGGAAGAGGAGCGATTGAGGCGCGCAGAGGAGGAGAAGAGGCTTGCAGAAGAGAGAAAGAGAGAAGAGGAGGAGCAGACTCGTTTAGCAGAGGAGGAGAAGCAGCAGATGGAGCTGGAGGAGCAGCAGAGACAGGCTGAGCAACAGAAAGAGGTTTGTTGACAGTCGGGCGCAGAAAGCCTGAGAGCTGTTGATTGTGCAGTTTGAATAAATGACTCTTTGTTTGATGGATGTCAGCGCGAGGAGGCTGAAGCGAAGGCCCAAGAGGAGGCTGAGCGGCAGCGGCAGGAGAGAGCACGCATCATGCAACAAAACCAGCAGGAGCGCATGGAGAGAAAGAAGGTGGATGTGCTTATACGACACAATATTACACAGTGGCCTTTTCAGCTGGCATTTGAATTGAAGAATCATACCTAAATGCTTTCTCTCTCTTTCCAGAGAATTGAAGAAATTATGAAGAGAACCAGAAAAACTGACCAAATGGATTTTAAGGCAAGTTTAACAACATTCATGGTACAACATAACATAACATATTCCACTCCCAAGGCATTTCTAATTTTGCCTGTATGTGTGTGTTTTATTTTAGAGTGATGATGTGGATGGCATTCCTGATGAAGACGGCGAGGGGGCTGAAGACCAAATAAACTGTGAAAACAAGGGTTAGTATTTTCAAGGGTTAGTATGAAGGCCCAATCCCAATTCTACCCCTTAGCCCTTTCTCTTACTCGCAGCCCTAGTTTTGTGCGTTCATGTGAAGGGGTAGGGGCATCCCAATTCTGTTTAGCATGAAGGAATAGGGCTAAGGGAAGGGGTAGATAGTCCTTGAAACAGATTTTTCTGGACCACACTCGAAACCAAGGGGTAAGAAATTTTCCTGAATATACAATCTGCAACAGCAACATGGCTGCATATGAAAGTCAGGAGATCCACACATTTGATTTTATTTGGCATTATTGCAAATTTTTACAACAAACAAGCACATGTTTTAATACATTCATAACAGTGTTTTTGTTTTACCGTCATGCTTTAAAAAAAAGATTTAAAAAATGCTACATTTTGCTATCTGTAATCCATAATAATAACCCCTGTATAGCAGTCTCACAACATGCTTTTACATCTGACACCCGATGACACTCGGAACACCCTTTCAGAAAACTCTAGTGGCTGGGATTGAGCTTTTTACAGTGTCTGCTATAATGTTAATGCTGTTTTTGTATGTTTAGATGAAGGCTACAGTGTAAATGCACAGTACAGTAACGATCTTATGGCCACAATATATGCTTATGGAAACATGATATTGTTAGATAAATACTAAAAAATAGCACAACTGGAATAACTACAGAAGTCGCGATCGTAAATCTCATATGAAGAACGAGATTGCAATGACATGTGCAGGTGTTGTAGTGCTGTCCCGTTTCTTTAGGGGTACATTTTGAAGCCCTTCCCTTTCACACTCTGTTTAAAGGGCTGAAGTAAAGGGGTAGGGCTACAAAAACAGAATTGGGATTGAGCCTTAGTATCATGTTTTACTCTTCCTTCGCTTGTTCAGTATATCACCTTTTGCTGTTTAATACAATACTGTAATTTAATGAAGATTCACTGTTTTTGATTTGTGAATATCGTTCATATCATGACATTTTGTCCTTATAACTTGTCTTCCTTCATTCATTTCAGAGAATGAGGCTGTGGAGTCAGAATGCTGCGGCGAGCAGACAGAGGAGCATCACTTCCCTCTAAAGAAGACTGACTCTGATAGAGAGGAGACAGCTGTCGATATCCACTCACAAACACATGCGGATAACAAGGAGAACAGCAATGGACCCAGCACACAGGACCCCTCAGTGGACAGGTACAAAAATGTTTTCTTTTACCTTCCCGTGGCTTTTTTAGTGTACATTACCATACATTACAGTCAGAGTCAAACACACACTTTTTGAAAGCATACTGCATTTGATAGCATGCACACACATTAGTGTGACCTGTACACTCATCCTTGTTCAACAATTCATCCTTGTTCATTGTGAAAGTTATGAGTAATAAAAATGACTGTGGTTTAGGCCTGAACTATAAATCATTTTAGCATCGATATCACAATGTGTGTATCCCCTATAGTCACATTGCAAGATTAGATTGTTTATTAAAGATTAAAAGATAAAGATATTAAATATGATTTAATTTTTAGTTATGTAATTAAAAATGAACATGTTATTTTATGCTTGATCTTTCAATTTCTGTTCTTAAATACTGTTACACTCCAGAGAAAACCATAAAGCCCTGCTTATTTATTTATTTTTGCTTGTAATTCATTGTTATTTATGCAGATGCGCTGCATAGAAAATAGCTTGATCAACCCGGTCAATCTAAATCAGAGAGACCTAAATCAGAGGACCTGCGGGCCAAAGTTGGCCCTTAATAACCTTTGATTTGGTCCGCCATCCCATCTGAGAATATTAAGGATGGTTTAGAGAGTCAATTCAAATGTTATGTAAGCCTTTTTTGTTTGTTTGTTTTTTATTGTAAAAGCCAACTGATAATAAACACTTTAATTAAATGGTGTAAATAATCAGATTTTGTTTAAATGTTCATACTGTCACCTGACAAATCAAAGGAAGATTCTGCTTGACTAGCGTATTCAGCATTGAACTCTACTGTGTGATGAATAGTTTTTTTTTTTTTTTACTGCTTTAAGTTATCATTTTAAAAGTTATGCTGCATTAGACAATACCATTTAAAAGTAATATTTTATGTTTATTTTGAAATATTATAAAATAAATTAGGAAATGACCCATGGCGACTATAATATAGTTTGGTATATTTACCTTTGGTTTGTATAGTGCAGACCTGCTGTATTCGTTAAAGCAGAGATGCTTATATTTTATTCTCCTGACAAATGCTCTTGTCATCACAGCCTTTTATCCTTTATTGTTTGTTGTTCATGTTCTACTTTGTCCATTCAGTGTTGACATCTTGTGCACAAACAAACTAAAAACTATTGATATCATGTGGGATCTGTCTGTACACTACATGCACTGTTACATGTGTATATACAGTTGAAGTCAGAATTATTAAACCCCTTGAATTATTAGCCCCCTGTTTATTTTTTTCTTCAATTTCTGTTTAATAGAGAGAAGATTTTTTTAAAACGTTTTAATAACTCATTTCTAATAACTGATTTATTTTTTCTTTGCCATGATGAAAGTAAATAATATTTGACTAGATATTTTTCAAGACACTTCTAAACAGCTACAACTTAACTAGGTTAATTAGGCAGGTTAGGGTAATTAGGCAAGTTATCTGTAGACTATTGAAAAATATAACTTAAAGGGGCTAATAATATTGACCTTTGAAATGATGTTTAAAAAATTAAAAACTGCTTGTATTATAGCCGAAATAAAACAAATAAGACTTTCTCCAGATGAAAAAATATGATCAGACATACTGATGATCAGTTTCTTATGATCAGACATACTGATGATCAGTTTCTTATGATCAGACATACTGATGATCAGTTTCTTATGATCAGACATACTGATGATCAGTTTCTTATGATCAGACATACTGACATAAGAAAATGTCCTTGCTCTGTTAAACATAATTTGGGAAATATATATAAAAAAAAGAAGAAATCTTCAAAGGGGGCTAATAATTATGACTTCAACTGTATAATAAAGGAAGTCTACATTGAGTGTGAGCAGCAGTTTTTACCTTTTAATTTTGTGTTAAATCTCCTGCAGCCCCCCTCCAAAATCCTGTCTGATGGAGGGCTCGGAATTCTTGAACGAGGACTCTAAAGTGAACCTGGTCCCGGGGTTGAATGGTAAAGGAGGACCTTGGAGCTTTGAAGAGCTGATCGATTTGGGTGTTCATGCTAAAACCAAACCCCTGATGGATGATGGGAGCCCTGAAGGGCCAAGAGTGGCCTTTGAAGAGAAAACTAGCTCTATTCATCCAGCCCAGCCTATTGAAGCCCTGTCCGGTGAGGCCTTCTCTCACTAAAGGCCTATTCACACCAAGCACGATAATTATATAAATATTACGATAAATATATTTGTGTCCACACTGACAGACAATTCAAATCTATTTACATTTAATTTATGATTTAAAGAGCCCATATTATACATGAAATAGGGTCATATCTTGGTTATAAGGGTCTCCAACAACAGTTTAATATGCATGCAAGGTCAAAAAACACTTTCATGGTCTTATAATCTGCATTTATTTTTACCTAATTATCCCAGCGACTCCTGTATGAATCGTTCAGGGATTCATTTGTTCCCAAACCCCTCCTTAGCGCGAAGCTAATCTGCGCTGATTGGACCAATGACAGCCTGTTGCGATTGGTCGACTGCCTTCAGTCAGAGAGTGAAATGCCAAACAGCTAATCAGCAATATAAAAGTAATCACAGTTCATACACGCTCGATGGTGTAGGCGTGGATTTTAGCTGCCAGTGGGTCAATGTAAATACAGACTATGGACTTGAAAATACAGACGACTAAATATTTTATTGAACAAAAACTCCAAAAACAGTTGAGGAGATCTCCTAGCTTCTCACTCTGCTCTTTTCACAGACACACACACACACACACGCACTTAACCCTGCTCCGGACGACAACGCGCGCACACACACCTCCGGACGACAGCGCGCGCACACGCACACACAGATACACACACTACTCCTTGTCCACGGAGCTCCGTTAACAAAGCAGCACGCGTCGCGTTTTTAACGTGACTTTGCACGCGATAAAAGAATATAGCCAGTTAACCTGATACAGTACACGCGGTTACAAGTAACAAATCACAACTAAATACATTTGCAAGCTAGAGTCAACGAGGCAACTTTAATCGCACGTACTTACACTTGAGAAATGGAGGAAGAAAAATCCATCCTGACGTCCATCAGTAAGTTACTCTTTACTGATCCTTCCTTTAACAAACGCTGATGAAGTATTCTTTGTAGCATGTAGTTTCCAGAAGTTTCCAGTAGTTTCCAACTGCTTGGCTATAATGCTGAGGTTTCATCTTTGGGTAGAGACTCAATATATCCATCTGCAGTGTGACTTCAATCGACCGGCATGTTAGTGTGTGTGCGTGTGTTTGTGGGTGTGTGTGTGTGTCTGGGTTTCTGCGTCAGAGGGCGGGGCCTCAGGTTTGAAATCTCCCGGGTTTGCGCGTGCACGTGAATAACTTGGTTTCGTTCGTACGTCATGGCGAAACACCTAATGAATCGGTATCAAGGCGACTCGTTTGAAGCACTATTAGTCGACTCTTTTATAGATGAATCAACAGTTTTAAACACTGTACACTAACAGATTTAAGCCTTAGCTGGATACTTAACTTCACTTAGAGCTGTGTTACACACTACATGGAGGGGAATTTTCAAAAACCCATAATATGGGCTCTTTAATTCGCATTAGCCCCTTGTAACCAGCAGATGTCCTCAGTGTGCTACTAGCGCATCTGACCAGTAAATCTCTATTTTAAAAATGGTTTACACTTGGTTTATACTTCTGCATGATCCACAGCACCTGCCTTGAGCATTGTTGTGCATTTATACTTTTGCATGCTTTTGTGTTCTGCAATAATACTTCCGAAACACTAGCTGACAGTGAGGTTTTAATGTTCCTCTGTCAGGTTTCTTCATGGGTGTTTTGTGTTTTCTGAACGCTACCTTAATGTACATATGACTCAAATTTGCTCATTTTGAGGTGGGAACCGGCAGAGTGCAACAGTTTTAATTATAAGGTAAACAAAACAAAACTTTCCATCTGGAGCTTATGGGACTAAACACTTCTAAACACTCACTCCAACAGTTTCTTGCGGCTCTGGGTCCTGCCCAAACTCGTCATCGCTACCAATCCGACCAATCACAGAGCTTGCGCTATACGTCGTTTCGATGTAGTTAAATTTTTTTGAGAGGTGCGCGTCAGCAACAGCCACGATGAGGGCTATGTGACCGCACGAAGGCTGCGCTGGAGCATACTAGTGCGCTTGATACAGAAACATAAATCTGTCTTCAGTGTAACTGATTCTGGTGTAGTGAAATCAAAACAACAAATAACTTTCCCCAGCGTTTTCAAAGGATGCAAAATTATGTGGAAACTAGCACTGGTTATCTGAGGTGCTTTTGTTTAATACTTCATTTTGCTAGCCTGACTTGCATAAGTTACATATTTTTATCATTCTTTCCCATTGTATAGCCTCATGATTTCCAGATAGGCGTTATCTTTAAATAATCTTTGAAAAGAGGGCTTAACATCAAGCAGAGATTCTCCACATCAAGTCCTTTGTAGCTTTAAATTGCACAAGTCATTTATATTTCACTGGATTGTGAAAAGCTATGAGTGTTTTATCCCTTTTAAGCTGTGAAAAACCCATTCTGAAAGTGATCACAACAATATAGATTCTGTAAATCAGGGGCACCCAATCCTATTCCTGGAGATCTACCTTCCTGCAGTTCAGCTGCAACCTTGATCAAATACACCTGTCTTTAATTACCAAGGATTTGATCAGATCCTACTTAGCTGGTTGTTTTGTGTTTGGTCAGGGTTGGAGCTGAACTCTGCAGGAAAGTAGATCTCCAGGAACAGGGTCGAGCAGCCCTGCTCTACATCTTTATCGTTATGGTTGTGGTCTGACCTCTGCTGTTGTTTTAAAATTAGAATGATTTTTAGAACTCTTTTTATTTGTATCTATATACACAGTAGTTATTGTGCTTGGTCTGAACAGGCTTTAAGTGTATGAAATGATGCTGTATTTGTATTAATATCACCTTATTCTCTTATTCTTTCAGAGATGTGAACGTCAGCTCTGTGTAAGGCCGCTGATTGATAATTGCACTCCATGAGTCCCGTCCAGCTGAGCCTCAGAGTGTCAGGCTGGTCTGGAGCGTCAGGGAAAGCACACAGTGCCGCACGGCCTCTTGCAGACTATAGACAGTTGGAAGACACAAGCTAACGGAAAACGCTTCAGAGAAAACGGTAGATTCCCTCAGTGTGCTTGTTCTTTGTTTTGTCAGTTCGGTTACAATACTGTCATCAGGATTTGTTTTTCATAACGTCAATATGTTAAATAATTTTGTTTGTCTTTTAAATGTGGAGCGACTTTATTTATTCATGTGGCTTCTCCGCATTTAAACCGTGCACTTTTTTTGGGCTGCAAAAATTCCAGTGCAGGGGTTCACGTAACATTCAGCTTCAGCATTTAGTAGAATGATCTGCTTGGTTATTGAGCAAAAGTTTCACGTATCTTCATAGGACAGTCACAGACATCCTAATTAAAACCCTGTGTCTGAACTGTGAGTGGAGCTCAGGAATGTGTCCCAAATGGGAATCTGTCCTAGAAATATGAGGTTTGACGAGCTGCTGCTGCAACTCTCCCATTCTGATGTGCTTTTAATGTGACCTCAGGAGATTTTTCTGCTTCTGAAAGCTTCTGTTTCTCTACTTCTAAGGAATAAACATCATTAGTGTATAGTCTTTAACTCTATATCCCCTGTGCAACCACTCAAGCATTCCGACTGTGTGACGCTTGTAGATAGCAGACGTTTCATTAAAAATAACAGACGTTTACCAGACTGATTGTAGTTGAAGTTGCGCGAACATGTTCATTCTGCCTTCAGCTCTGAAATTGAAGGATGACGGAGTTTAATGCAGACTCAAATGTTTTCTGTGTTCCCCGTTTTGTTAATATCCTGTTCTACCTGTACATAAGTATGACTAGTTATCAAATACCTAATTTAAATGCATCCTCAGTAGCTTCAGCTGTCTGCATGGATCTTTGCGCAGCATAATATAACACTGTAACTCATACTTGCACACTTTTTCGCATGTTTTCGCTGTGGGTTTGAAGAAACTTGAATGATTTGACGTTCTCAAATGCCCAAAGTCGTCCCCTCAGGGTTATACTGTACTTATGTTTTTCCTCATATTACTGTCCATGGCCTAATAACCACACTAAAATTTGAGCGCTCTATGAAAATGCAGACATATATATAAACTCTAAGTGTTATGTAAATCAGTATTAGGCTGTTTGGCCATTCTTGTGGTTGGGAATAAGAGCTAGAAGCAGGTTGGTGTGCTACAGATTTGTACTGTAATATGACTGTACGCAGCAGGACCCAGCACCAGCACGCGTATCTCTTTTTAAACAGTGATGCGAGTCGGAGGGGGGAATGAATGTGAATGAGGGTGCAAGCCATGTCAAGAGGGCTTTTTGATTATGAAGCTGCGGTGAGGGTGAACAGGGATGTTTTGCAGATTTGTGATTGACGTGATTTATGCAATAGATTTGGACCATTGAGCATTCGACGGTTGCATTGAATGATCGGTCTCCATATGCTTGAAGAGTCGGCTTTGTGTGCTGCAGTTCAAATATTATTCGCAGACTATTTTTACTTGGCCATGTTTGTGGTCACATTTCCTTCTTTGTATCATTCCATCCGCATTTAGGAATACAGTAGATCCCTTAATGTGTATTTAACGTTCCTTCTGTTGTTTTATATGCATCTCCTTGTGTGTTGTTTTTTTTTAATCTTTTGTTGTGTAATAGTCTCTTTCGGACTCAGGCTCTTAGACATCAGTGGAAAAGTGTTTGCTGAGTGATTTGGAGATCACTGTGATCCTTCGGTTTGGCCTTTTCGTATGTACTCTTAACACTCTAAATCTCCCAGATGGCTTCCGGTTGTGGTGTAGCTGCTGCAGACTCGATCATCGAAGCTTGTGTTAGTTGCGTTTGCTTTTTTAATATACACTAGCACAGCCACTTTCAGAGCAGTTCACTCTAATGCCGATGTTTAAGAGCCCCACGTGCTGTGAGCATCACAACTAAAACTGTTCTTTAAGGTCAAGTACTCGATACAGGGGTAGAATAGGACGGTGCCTTAGATGCAGAATGGGCTGTGTTTTATTTTTCGTAAATATTAATACCTTAACGTGTCGCGTGAGCTTACCTCGGCCATGACAATCACTCTACTCGACCAGGGTCACGAATAGGATCTGCTTTTGTTAGAGCGGTTTCTTGTCTTGAAATAGCCCTGACCACAGAATTATATTTGTAAATATATCTAAAGTGTACTGGGAAAATATCAATTGTTAAAATAAAGTTTTGGAAGATAAAAGGAAATGCGAATCGTGTTGTTGTTTCATGCTCGGTTGTTTGAGTTTATTGGGTTTTGTGTGTGTGTATGATGTGTAATGTGTTTTGTGAGTTGTTGTTAGTCGATTGAATTATTCAAAAACAATCAAACAATGTTTTTTTCCCCACAAAGCAACATGAAATCATTTCAAAACCTTACATTTGTTACATTTTACATACTTCATAACATCACACAGGTTCGCCATAGCTTTGCACTAACTGAAGCCTTAAATCTTGCGATTTCATATGATTTGCATAATAAAAGCCCTGCGTATAGCACTCTATAAAAATAATCTTCCAGTGATTAATGAACACACACCCTCACTGGATTCTCTCTAGTTGGACACTCAAAGCTTCGCTAGTTTTTCGATCAATCTTAATTGCTTCTGTTAATCAACCTTATCGCATCCCATCAGGCCTCACAGCTTCTTGGCGCAGTCAGAGCAGTAGATGTCCTCTCCGTTGATGACGAATCGCTTGTGGGCCATGGAGAGGGAGCATTTCTTGCAGTTAAAGCAGTATTCATGCCAGGATTTGTCCTCGTAGTTCACCACATTGGTCCCTCTGCCAAAACCTGGAACACAAACGGAATATGGATTTTATTTCCCATTATAAATGCAATTATCAGTTTCAGAATTAGTCTGATGGCTCACTTCAACAAATGCTTATTCTAGGAGAATGCAGATTTAACTGAGCATAATGGCTCATCTTAACCAAGATCTTTTAACACAGGGGATCCGCGGGGTCTTAAAAAGTCTTAAAATGTCTTAAATCTCAAAAACTACATTTTAATCCCTGAAAAGTCTTAAATGTACTGAAATGTTGTGTTGTAGGTCTTAAATCTTTTTTTTTTTGTCTTAATTCGGTCTTAATTTTCCTTTGTTCATGTAAAGCTGCCCAATCTGGCCATTAACGTTTACATTAACTTTTATCTTTCTATTTTGAAAAAGCATTTAATTTATTTCCTTATTGTAACATTTGCTTAAGAGTTCTGCATTTATTTACTACGGAGGATACTAACCTGACTCATATATTTTTTAAATTATTATTATTGTAGACTCAAATAATCTACAGCTATGTTTTGTTCTATTCTTGGTAGGGGTTATATGGTTTGAGAATGAATATAATTGATGAAAATTAATCAAAAAATATTTAAACATGATTATTATTATTGTATTTAATGTATTCAATTGTAATAATTTTTTGATAGGTCTAGTGAAAATATTTTCTAACTGGGATATTTGAAAAAAAATTGTTAGCATTTAGCCCTGTAAAAGTCTTACAGTTCATTCATAATAGTCTTAAAAATGTCTTAAAGTCTTAAATGTAACTTGGTGAAAAATGCAGAAACCCTGTTACATAACTAGTTCCACAGAAGGGAAGCTGCACAGATTTGTTTACCTGTAATGGGATTTTGACATCCAGAGCACTTCTTGGCCACATCGCTCTTATAACAGTCCACACAGTAGAACTGATCCTCATGGGCCGTGAAGCGAGCTCCAGCCAGAGGCTTCTTGCACGTGTGACACACAAAGCACTCTGAGTGCCAGGGCTGGTCCTGATAGGTGAGTCCACCGCTGGTAATGGCCTGATAATCAGGATACATTAGAACAGAATATGTCAGATAGGACCCATTAGTTCTGATCGACTAATTGAATTGTTCAAGAGCGTTGACACACTGTCATATTAGTGTTGGAGATTTGACAATCATTATTCCAGATGACAGCAAATATCTTTTTTGGGTAAGTAACCATGTAATAATAAGCACTGTGGTAAGTTTGGTAAAAATGACCATCTGACTGCAGTAAGTTCATGTTATGTTTCTCTCACTGATATTTTTTTTTACAGGGCAAATGTAGTCTTTATATTCACCAAAGTATTATGTTCATTCTTTAATTTTCCTTCGGCTTAGTCCCATATTTATCAGGGGTCGCCACAGCAGAATGAACCGCTAACTAATCTGCATATGTTTTACACAATGGATGCCCCTCCAGCTGCAACCCAGTACTGAGAAAAAGTATCATCCTCTAGTTCTTAAATAATTTAGCAATGGCCTGTAGTGTTTAGACTAGTCTTAAAATGTTAGCCATATTTATTTATAACTACTTGTACCATTTTAATATTGTTACCAATGGGTTGATTTGGCTAACTTTAATCCAAAAATGGGACTGATTACCTTTTGTTTGACAGTTAGCTTATAATACAAGTCCTAACATAGTTGGCTGGGTTTATGCAAGAGACCACTGATCCTTATTTTCTTGTTTAATGCTACATCTAATAGGTTTTTCACAAGGCTTCATCAGTCTGCCATGTTGGAGAGGAGAATTTAAGTGATGAATGAAGCCTGCACATTTTGCTTATTCTGTTCATATGATCAATTATTTCCATGTTTTGGCCTGTACCAATTAACTGGACAAATAGAGAACTAAACAGCCCATTAAATTGAGTTTGAAATATGTTACACCTTTCCCTCCTTATCAAGTCCATTCATATATGATTTATCAGCTTTCACACTGTTTTTCATGGTTTACAAAGCATAAACAAGCAGGACAATGTATTCAGCAGTAGAATACCCTGCAATCCATGCCATTGTTGACATCGCCATAAGGGCTACACATATGGGTCACTGGTCAAATCAAGACCCTAAAACTCAACATGTGAAGTGGATCAGAGAAGAATGGAAGTTGTTCAATAGCTTTAGGAAAACTTTGATCAAAGGTTTTGAACCCCTTCAAATGTTGACTACTGTGTACTCCATGAAATCCTCTAACAGCATTTAATTTTGTGGTGTTTAGTCCGAATATGTGCTGTATTTTGACTACAAATGAGACCAACATTGGTATACAGGTCATGCATTCATTCATAATGGTCTTCAGTTTGATTTAGTGAAATCTGCAGAGAGCCTGTATTACAGTAGATTCCTCTTATCCTTAACTGACCTCTTTGCAGCGAACGCAGTGCTTGGCAAACTTCTTCTCGTGGCAGGGAGTGCAGTACATGTCATCACCCTTGGTCAGGAAGCTCTGGGTGCGGATAGGCTGCTTGCACTCAAAGCAGGTGAAGCACTCTTCATGCCAGACTTTATGCTTGTACTCCACATTCTTACATCCTAAAGAGAAACAAACGCTTGGCTGTAATTTTCAACACCCTGCATGTGTTCGAGATACTTTTTGTGAAAAACAACAACACTTGTCTCTCTCTCACACACACACACACCTGGAGTGATGACTTTGTAGCAGCCCTGGCAGCGAGGCGATCCGTCACGGTCTCCACACTTCCCACACATGATTTTGCCATCGTCCTTGGCTTGAAAGGGCTCGTTGGCCAGCGGCTTGTAGCACTTGGCGCAGCGGAAGCAGCCCTCGTGCCAGTGGCGATTCTTATGGTTCAGTTCCTGGGTAGAGAGCATTTATAGGTCAAGATTTTATGTCAGAATATAACTATAAACTATACAGAGGGCCGCTGATCGAATGTAATAATGTTGTACATAATGGCTGATTTCTTTCAGACTAATGCGACATTCAGATGCTAACTACTGTGTTTTTATTTCTCTTACGGATTCAAAAAGTTTCACACATTTCAAGAAATGTCTGTGTGTATGGAAACTGCAAATTTCAGTTAAATCAATGTAATATTTGTGTCACTGTAAACAAACACAGAAGAATGCAGTGATGAGCCTTTATGTCCAGATGTGCTGAGTACAGACGTAAACAGAACAGTGGTGGATTTTGGAAATGGACCAGCTTTACCAGGTTTTGTTGTAATAGTGCTAATAAAGTTAACAGCGCCTGCTGCACAAACACTGCTCTATTAAGCTGTGTGCAGGGTTCTTCCTCTTAGTCACATGGTACTGTGACTATCATTTCCAAAAAAAAATAATAATAAAAAATGTGGTGCTTTGCCTATCTATATGGTTATTTTTCCACTCTATAATTTTGTTTCAGGGCACTTACGATGCTGGTGTCACGTGGACAGAGAGCCAAAACACTATATAAACTTGCAGACTGACCTAAATCCATGACAGTAATCATAAGAGCGCTGCGTTTCATTTATGAGCCACTGATAATAATTTTGTTGCCTGTTTTACACTCAAATTGTCTTTGATTTAGCTAAGCAAGGCAAGGCAAACTTTATTAATAGAGCTTAGATTTACTCAACTGTAATTGATTCACGGTGCTTTACAACAATGAATAATTGAAATATAAAAAAAATAAAACTAATATAAGAAATGGAAACTGTATATAACTGAAATACTGACATGAAATAACATGCAAGCATCACTCAAAGGCAGTGAGTAAAAATAAGTCTTTAAATTAGATTTAAAAGCATCCAATGATGGAGAAATCCTAATGTTTCGAGGGAGACTGATCCAGAGCCTTGGGGCCGCAACACAGAAAGCTTGATCACCTTTTGATTTGCAGCAAGACAGAGGGATGGATGAAAGAAACTGCTCATAGGACCTTAATGGTCTACAAACTGTATATGGCCAGATAAGTTCACAGATATAGACCAGGGCAGAATTGTGCTTTATATGTGAAGAGAAGGATCTTAAGATCTATTTAGCTATGTTATGAACCGCCAAGAACTGCACCAATTAAAAACAATCCTTAAAGTTTTACTGAAGAAAAAGAATCACCCACAGAGTACATCTTGGCAGGCCTGACAGCACATTTTCATTTGTGAGTGAACTATCCCTTAAAAATCCCAGTGTACCTGTACAGTTACATTTAACCTGTCAAAATATTTCAATGTGGTGATGTCGTTGGCCCATGAACATTTCCTGCTTGTTGTCGATCTATTTCATAACTGTAACAAAAGGAAATTCAATTATATCTTCATGTTGAAACAGCCATCATAACATTTTTTATCAATATGTGGCTCTCTCTGGATTCACGGAAGCTATAGAAATTAAAAATGTAAAAGAGGAAACACATTATTGTTATTGTTTACATCCCTTAAATGGTCTATAACCGAGTTCAGGTTGCTGT